TTAACCAGCCGGGTAAACCGTCTCCGTGGTCTGGGGAGAACATGCTGGACTCCTTAACCAGTCGGGCAGGGTAAGTGCGAGACCCAGAGCGGGCGCACTGGTTAACTTGAGGGTCGGCCCAGGCCTGGGGCCGCCGTACCAAAGCATTGCGCAACATGTAAAACCTAAGGAAAGCCTGTCTGACAACGGGTTAGAGGTTAAATTAACCGTCGGGCCGGATGACACAACTTAGGCGGTGTGATCAGGTTATACACAACTGGCGTATGATCAAGTTTGACAGGTGCCCTGAATTCATAGTCACTTACTCCAACCATTCGCAATCTACTTATGGTAAGAAAATCTTCTCGGCTGTACGTAATTACACTATTTCGTGTATCTAAGCCTCATCTCTCCCACCATATCCACAGATACCAACCATGTCATGTCTTTAATAAAGTCTTTGGAACCACAGCCTAGAATTGAACCACATGGAACGTAGCCGTTCTTCATAGCGTAACATTAACACCAACTACCGCAACATACAGCCACGCAAGCCAACACATGCCGGCAAGCATCCCGAAATGGAATTGCTGATCAGCCTTTTACAAACATTTGCATATGAACATGCTGAGCAGCTTACAAATTCCACGCTACAGGCAGACCACGGCTGTAAACGTTCAAGGCACGCATACTCCTACAATCGCCACGATAATGCCTAAGTGCCGCTCATAACAAAACACCGTTCGCTCGCGCCACCGGCCGGCTCTGCGTCGCTCACCGAGCTGCTCGACGGTGAATACCCGCAGGTCGGGGGAGGTGAGCCGGTGTGAGCCGGTGGGCCCGCCCTGCGCCGCCCAGTACACTGTGTGACCCAGGAGCAGGCCGCGTGGCCGCCGCGGCGGGATCCAGGTCACCGTCAGGCTCCGGTCACTCACGTCCGAGAAGGTCACGTTCTCAGGCCGGGAGGGCACTGCAGAGCAGGCGGAGGGGAGGGGGGGGGGGGGGACTTAGAGGCGGGCGTCATTGGCGTGTTCTGTAAGTGGGAATACGCTAGGCAGGAAATCCAGTCTTTATAGACCCATCACCAGTAAATGGTTTGCCTATTCGCACCATTATATAGCACATAACACCAGCAACGAGTGTCTCTGATGTCCGGCAATCAAAATTAAAAGGACATGAACTAGCCTTTACTGCGTGAAGTGAAAGTAGAAAGTCGTTTATACGGCGGCCACGGAGCTTCCACCTGCGGTATGTCCGGTCAAGCAGGCGCGGGTCGACCCCTGACCACGGGGGACGTACCCCCCTCGTCGGTGACAGCCGTGATGGAGGCTGGTGGCCCCAGGCCGTCCGGATTTTTGACCTGAAGTGTAATCTTGTACCTGGTGTAGGCCTCCAGTCGCTCGATGAGATAAGTCTGAAAACGGCGAAAACAATCATGAAAAGAAAACTGGCTGAGTTTAGCACTCCCTGAAGTTGGACTACTGTAGGGCGATTATGAACTGCAAAACAACGGAGACAGCTTTAGAATAATCTTAAAGAGGTCAAGACGAACTTGTTGTCGACGCCAAAACATCTTTAGATCAGGTCAAAGCCACCAAACGAAAATATACAGAATTCAGTAAGATATTTCGCGCCAGGCAAAACAAAACTAAAGCAGAACAGTTAAAACCGGTGAACTTTGCCCGGCCCCTTAGCCAGACAGACTGTTTTTATTGGATAGCAGCCAACTGACCGTCGCTGAGACGCATGGCAGAATGCGTCGTCCACATAGTTATCAGATGTCCGGCATTCCACCAAACAGACGTGTGCCCGGTACACAAAGCAAATTAAATAACCTGAGCAGGGGTTTACACCAACGACTTTGACATCAGAGTTCTCGCCAACCATTGCCTGTTCCAAAGGCTATGACCGCACCACCCCACCTAGGCCAGGTCAGAATTATGAGCTGGGAGACCTGGTGTCGAATAGAACTGACCTTGCATATTTCAGGAGGGGCTGGTTTAATCAATGTTTATTTGATGACGTCAATTAACCACGACCATCTGGCATATTAAAAGTCGATTACTTTCATAACAATAACTCTGATCTAAGAATGGTGAAAAACGAAGACCACAAGGCTTTTACGCTTATATCAGAAGTGACAAATGTTCGCGAACTATTTGGAGGTATCATGTTGTGTTACGGCATGGTTGCCTGTGGTAGCCTGACTCCTGATTCGATTCAGGCTGGCACAACCACAGGCTGCCCTAATTGGCCAGCAGCCAATTGGCCGTCATTGATGAGATACATCACAGCAGTGTCGAGAACGCGATAACTCATGTATTTCACATAGCGGCCAAGTGTTCGGCGTTCTAACAACCAAGTTGTGCTAGGTGGCGTTATGGTGCTGCATTAGTGGCATTTGCATAATTTTATACTTAAAGGGGTTCTTGGGTTCTACTTAAAGGCTTCCACATTTAGATGAGGTTTTGAACTAAGCAGCCATCTTGAAGACCTTTCGGTGCTGTTCACAATCCTGCCCTTATGAAGACCAAAGCTCTTCTAGTTTTTGAGCCTGACGCCCGTGAAAAGTGACAAAGGTTTACCGGGGAGAGTATTTCAAAGGCACGCTGGCATTCATGATGTCAAAATGACGTCATTCAAATCCCGCTATTCCAAAGTTCATACGGCGTTCAAGACCAAAACAAAACGTATTGCCGAGGCGCCCATACATGACATAAGTGAGCGCGATTTCCAGATAAAACCGTCATCAATTAGCTCTCACTCAATGTTATGCAAGGTGCGATAGCGTAATCAAACCAAGACGCATTGAGAAGCATAGTTACTACACGGAGAACTGTGCTGTTAGAGCGGTCCTTTCTATTTAAGGAGCATATCAATACTTATAAGTGAGCTTGTTTCATCATGTCTGATGCTTGCTTCAGTATCTTCAAATGCGGGCCATTCCCTTTAATCTGTCGTGTACCGTTGAGGAGCATGACGGGGTCAGCAT